GTTCTCAAGGCTGAAATTGAATTTAGTGTCCTTTCAACTCATCCAAAGTTGAATTGTAAATAAAACATTGGACCTGAATGAAGCATTAAATTAGGGCTGTCATGATATCAGGTTTTCACTGCACGATTAATGTTTTCAGTAAAAAATCACAATAACAATATTATCACAATACCGATAGGAACTGTAACAAGCATTAATAATAATGCTTCTTTGGTGCATGGACAGTGTCTTGCTCTTATCTGTGTTATTAATGAGCTTGCTAGTTACAGAGTCTTTTTCCTTGTCTTCTGTCCATTGTATTGTGGGTGGCAACGGGTGCTATGGTCCAATACTTCCTCCTACTATGTTGGAGTGTGCTGGACTATTTATGATATAATCCTATGTGTATTGTTAACATCATGTCAACAGACCACTTTTTAACTCTCAGCATTAATTCAATTTTAGTCAATTCTGTTGTATCACGACAATTCATTTTCTACCTTCAGTACTCATCCTCAGCATGGCGCCTTGCAAGTGCAGAGTGAAGAACCAGGGGTTTGGTTGCACATACCAGTGTGTTTGCCTTCTAGAGCCTTCCAGCAAACACATTTAATGCCCTTTTACGCTGTGCAGTTTTCTGTAGTTTGAAACAAACCCGACATTCATGACAGAAACACGGTGAACTCCTCGATCGTCAATCCAAATCGGTGGTCCTAGATTGCATTGTGATACGGTTCACAGACAATTTAGGACCAAAGTCTCCCAGGTTGCCTTCAGCCACTTCCAACATCTGCACACGTCCCAATCATGAAATGACCCATAATATACTGGCTGGCGTGACGTGGTGTAGTGCCATTTTTGGATCATGTTCGCGAAAAGAGAAAGACACATACAAGACCCAAACAATAGAGTAATGAGAATTTGAGAGTCTGGTAATGAAGAAGCAGCACAAGTGGATGACATCAGCTGATAACCGTCGTCTTTATGGGGTGCTAAAATCTGATATGCCTGACATTTTTTTTCTTAAAACCCTCATGTTTAAATAGGTGGGTTTTTTTTGGATGGGAAGCCAGTGAGGGATGATATTATTCAACGTAATCTCACACCAAAGTGTACTTTGCTCTGGCAAAAAGTCATGTGACTCATGGATTTCGTCACTTCACTCATGAAAACAGCAACACAATCTGTGGGTTGAAGGCATAAACCACAAGATTTTCACCTAAGAGACTGGGGTACTATGTGGGACCATAGTTTACGGTCATTTTCAGTCACTGTTTGCTTTTGTCTATGCTGCAAAACTGTTTAATCACCAAAACTACTTGGTTAGGTTGGGAAAAGCCAATGGTTGGGGTTAAAATACACCCTTGCAAACATGAACAGCAAGGTTCGAGATACTATGATTCCTCAAATACAGGGATGTTTGCACAGATTTTAGGACAATTAATCATACATAGCTTCCATGTTAAATTATACTAAACTGAACTTCCATTGTACTTGACGTTAAATCTGCGCACTAGTATTATATCAAGATTCCATAAAGGCATATTTGCAGCATGACAATGTGTAACACCCATATCATAGCATTGAGTGTTGTGGCCAATGTGGTGCTTTGCATAGAAAGGTTGGTTCCAGCATTCGGACAGTTCAGATTAAATTTAGATCAAACACAATGTTTTTTCTCCTACCTTTTCTTTTGGGAGATTATGCATCACTAAACAATCTGCTCTGAGGCTCTTCTGCCTCTTTGGAGTAAATGAGTGGTGTGTAAAACATCTGGAGTGATGTATGGTCAGTATTAGGGAGTTAACCTCAGGCAGCTGTTGGCTCCACTACCCAACTGTCTGATCGGTTGTAAGCCCTGGAAACAGCAGTGCAGCCGCATGTGTTGAGTCGAATTTTTTGGAGCTTTTTTCAGCGGACTGCACGAAAGCTCTCCGAAGACTGGACGGGTTGAGAATTCTGAGTTGTAAACACACTCTCAGACGTATACATTCCCGTGTGAACCTCCACATTTTTACTTACAGTGAACTTTGGAGCAGTGAGGGGCTAGCTTCTCCTTAAGCTAACAGGATTTGATATATTTATACATTTCTCTGTTCATGTTGGGATGACTCATCTATCAGTGGGTGTCCTGCGCCTTGATCGCCTTCCAGAATATTTTTTCTTTTCTTTTTCTTTGAGCTGAATTCTTTTCCCTCCTCATCTCCAATTCCTCCACTTCTACTCGTCTTTATTTATTTATCGATTTTCATATTTCAAGTATTAATGTTGTCTTCTTTTAATTTCTGTCCAACTCCTGTCCTCATTCCTGCCCTTGTTTTTTTGTCTTCAGTCCAGTCTGATAATGATTTGGAGAGTTGAGGCTCAGTCAGACAGCCAGACAGACAGTAATGAGGGCAGGAATACTGATTAGTGCAATGAGCAGTTTGTTCCAAGTTATTACATTATATATTCTGGATCGCAAGCCATTCGGAGCTTGAGTTTCTGTTAAGACAGCAGGGTGGCAAAACCGTCATTAGACCTGAGCTCACTTGTGGACACTTCAGCATCTGGCTTGCTGAAGTGTCCTTGAGCAGAACAGTAAATCTTTTACAGCTGTTATCTCTTTCCTCTTTCCCCATCCACGGGGAGCCTGACCTCCTGATGACAGGGCAAAGAGAAAAGAGGATTCCTCTGCAGGAATTAATAAAACATCACATATCTGTCAGAGGTTCTCAGTGGGATATTTTTAAACATCAGATATATTGTATGCCTAATATTAGAGCCGGAGTCTGGTGTAGATATCGGCCGCTACAATAGGAAGCTGCAGTGGAGAAATGCAAATTTTTATCTGCAGACGGAGATGAAGATGGTCCAGTTGTGACTGCAACACTTAATATAGAAACATGGTCATGTGATAACACATGGATCACATTCCTTCCATAAACAGCCACAGTAAGACATCCCAGTTTGTCGACGTCACAGTTCTTTAACAGCAGACTGTGATTTTTAGCCACCATATGTTGCAGTATGTTAGGCAGTTTGTTGAGCCACTGCTTTGGTTTAGATTAAAATATCTTAACTATTGGATGGATTGTCTTAAATCTTTCTACAGACATTAATGTTCCCTCACAGGATGAAACCTGCTGACATTGGAGATGAGATGTTCTGTCGTAATGTACCAGGGCCACATCATCCAGCAGTTTTTATATAATGTGCAAATACAAATAAGTTTATGTCGGTGCATCTTGGTGAAATGTTTTCATTTCTTGTAACTGAATAATGGTTGCTAAAGCAATGTAAAGTTTATCAGGCATGAAGTTATGGGTAATATAGTATTGCTTCTGATATTTAGGTTGTATGTATTTGGTATGTATACCCAACATCCTTCTTTATATTTGGGAATATATATCATTTGTAGATGTAGTCTTGCCTGTACTCTTTAAAATGCAACCCTCATGAAATAAATTAAGTCATTTCGATGCATTATTGCTATTTCAGTCCCAAGGTAGGACCTTTAACCAGTGAAAGCACTTGATTGGTTATAATCTATGGCACAGAAAGGTAAAAATCATCAGAATAATAACAAGAGATCTTTTTTTGTGGCTCACATAAAAGCAGCTGTAGATGTATATAAACTGGGTGCGTCCAGAAGATGTTAATCAGTTTTTAGAGGACGGTTACTTTTTGACAAATCACCTGGATTCAGGGATAACCAGGAAGATGAAGGATGAAGTTAACAAATGAAGCTGAAAAGAGAAATAAAGCAGCTTCTTGCAGTACAAAAGCAAAGCAAGGCCAGTCTGACATCTGAAGAAATTTCTCAGTTGAGGAGGAAATAATAAAAAGAACTGGACTTTGTTGCACAAATGTGCAAAACATTGATATGCACTGGTGACAAATCTGGCCTGCCGTGTTCCTTCTCGCCAAAATAAGCTCTGCTAAAAAAGAGAAATGACTTCTTCCTGCATATATTAAACACAATACCATCGAGAATGTATAAAATGTGCACCCACATTCATATGAATGCAGGCAGATTTAAGTATTTCAACACGGAAAAGTATGCATTTATTTCGCCAATACACAGTAAAATAAAATGTTTTTTTCCGGCCGGACCAAAGAAGACACAAGGTCAATGGAACTCTGAAACCATCGTCCGGATGTGAATGGTCAGAATGTTTTGGAGGGAAACGGTAGTAAGAAAACAGTTCTCAGCTGAGGGTCAAAGCAATTTCCTTTCTAGTAAAACATCTCAGACATTTACTAAATGAGCTGGAAGTAAATGTTGAACAGATGTTTGTGGTTTTCAAGTGACGTATTGATTTTGGTGACTCCTTAGTTTAACCACCAGTGTCAATATAAAGTGGACGTTTGTGGTTTGGGGTAAAATGTCTAAACAAATAATTAGTAGACAGCTCGAGTATTTTCAAAACTTGCCTAAATAGCAAATTCAAACATTAGCATGTTAATATGCTAACATATTAACATGATACTTTATGATGTTTACCATCATAAAGTATCATGTACTATGGGATTGTGATGAAGAAATGAATTAAAAATGCATATTTTAGCCATTATTGTTACAAAAATATATATTTTAAAACAAACAAAAAACAAACATTAACCAGTGGAATGTTTGGGAAGTCCTGCCATAGCCTGTTAGCATTGTTATTGTGGCCATGTTAGCCTGCTAGCATTAGCATTTGGCCTCATATGCGGCTAACATGCTAGCGTGGCTACATACTTTTAATGCTGTTTACCTGTAACAAGCTGCAATATATTCTGTATCTTGGTCAAATACATGAATAACCACATTTAAACCATTTTTTCTCAACATTTTTGTGTGAAGACAGCCGATTGCCTTTTTTCTCACAGCAAAGTTAAACTACTTGTAGTATTGATGGTTCTCAAGCATCAGAATGCATGTGCTTCTGTGCACAGTTTCAGTTTCTAACTTGCTTTACATGGGATTGTCAGCTGAAAACCTTGCACCGTCCTGTATTATATTAATCGCTGTATTTTGCTTGTCTGTGTCTGTGCAGGACTTCGATGACTTCATCTTTGCATTCTTTGCCATCGAGATGGTGATTAAGATGGTTGCGCTGGGGATTTTTGGCAAGAAGTGCTACCTTGGAGACACGTGGAACCGCTTGGACTTCTTTATCGTATTGGCCGGGTGAGTTACACAGACACACACACAGGTGGCCAAGCATAACCCTCTGCACAAACACCGGAGGCTTGCACAAGCAGCAGTACGCACACATGCAACAAATTTGAGCAGCAATCAGTCTGCTTGTCGGGATTTGAGAGAGCAGTGACGGATCCGCGTACGGGGATAGAATCTCGAGAGGACAATAGATGTGTCGAGCTTCTCAATGAAACCGTGTCACCTGAGGCCAACGAGCTGCAGGTAGAAGATCAAAAAAAATTTGAAGCGTGGTACAACTGCACTTCTAAGTGGTATCGGGCTACGTCCCTGTGGGCTCTTCTGGATTTGTCATCGAATAATTTAAAAGCGCCGTTAAAGGGTTACTAGAAATTCATAGCGAGTACTCTCATGAATTCTTAAGTGCTCAGAAACTGTCAAAACTGATGGAGAGTGTGAGATCAGGTTTTGAGATGAGTGCATGCAGATTAAATACATTTATTTAATAATGTACATTATAGCACATCATGCTGTGGGTGGAAATTTTAAGGGCTGCACATGCTGATACAACGTACAGATGCAGGATATGCGCACACATTCTACATGCACCCACAAAGCAATGCACACACACTGTAATTTGATTAAACATGTTACTGAACGTAGCCTGCTGGTTTCGGTCTGACATTTTCATCACACTACATCCCCCGCTGCTTTTTAATGCCATCCTTCTGCCACAGCTTCTGTTGTCCATCAGTGGGAACAAGGCGCATTTCCTTCTGTGTGTGTCTCTGACTGTGTGTGTGTGTCTCCCCAGCGTCCTTCAGCAGCACAGATGAGATACATTTCACCTACCTTACCTTTTTTTTTTTTTGCCAGTATATCATCACTAACACACAGAGAGAGAGGCAGAGATCAGAGCCCCACTGGTTTACCAGAAAACTGTTTTCCACAGTCGAAGGTCTGTCTCGGGCCCTGAGCTTTTCCCTCAGCCCTCATTCAGTTAATTCCTCCGCTCTCCACCTACTCCTCTCCTCTCCACCTGCATCGTACATCTGAGTAAAAACCTTTTAGGAGCATAGACGGTAAAAGCTGCTTCTCTGCTGGTCATCTCATGACTCAGGGAACAACTGATGCGGTGCCAGAAGGAACTTGATGGGAAATACCTCACTGTTTGATATTCAGGTAGCCCACTCATCTACTGAGTGAATACAAGGTCAGTAAAAAGGAATTTAAGCTGCAGCAGCGACTATAATTTATCTGTGGGGGGAGATACTGCAGCAGTGCAGCATCTTTTTTTAATGCAAAATTGTAATTTTGAAAAATAACCATGTCCGCTAAATGCAGTGATGTAGAAAATACATTTTATGCTGGACTTTAGTAGTGAAGCAGAGGTACAAAGCAGAATAAAACAGAAGTGCCCAAGTGTATTTTGTACAACTAGAACACTCTGCATAGTATTAATACTTTCTACAGATGAAAAATAAAACTCTCCAATGCCACTCATGAAAGAATCTGTGCAATATCAATATTTTTGCACATATAAAACAGTCTTTTGCAATATTACTGCTTTCCACTTTGAGGGGAATCTCAATGATTCTTAGCACATACATTATGATGATGAATTTTCTACATATCTGCATCTGTACAATTTGAAAAGTACTCCTGGATATTTCTCGTTTATTAAATTTCTTGCTGCTGTTTCTGATAGTGGCATGAATGAAGGATTATCTTATTTTATCTTATCTCAGTGAAGCACCTCAAAATTGTACTTAAAGATGCAGTTTGCAACGTTAGGAACCAGAGGGTGGTGCAACACCACCATCCCTGACCAATTCATGTTTGAAAATTAATCTATAAAAATAAAATTGGTATTTTTTGAGGCACTGACTGATCGCTCTGGATATCACTTTTGCATTTGCAGTGTGGGAAGTCACTCTGTGTTTTTAAATGCAAGAAGTTTGGAAGTTTCTCACATGCACTCAACATTAACAGCTTTCATTAGAACACACACAGAAGGAATATGATCCATTCTCTGCTTAGGGAGCCATTAGTCCACAATATCTTTACATAGATGATAGTTGTTTTCTTTCATCTTTATCTTCACATTTTTCTATCTTGCACTTTTCAGTACTTTATTACATTCCACCACTGCAGAAGATAATGCTACCAATTCTTGTGTACACTGATTTTTTTCAAACCCCAACTGGAGGAGCATACAAGGTGTGTCAGAAAAGTTCCAGAACTGGTGTCACAAAAGATATATTTCAAACCAAGCTGCAAAGTATGAGTTTTCCCCTTCAGACAATCAGCCAGCATGTCTACTGATGTCTACTGTGGCTTTGCTTCGCTCAGTGCGTGAGAAGAGGTGAGAGTTGTGGCAGGACAAGTCGTGGCTGCTTCACCATGACAACACGTCTGCTCACAGTGACCTGAGCATCCGACAGTTCCTGGCTGAGAAGAACCTCCCAACTCACCCCACCTGGCTCTGTGGGATTTTTTCCTTCCCCCCAAGCTCAAAGGGGTCATCAAGGGGACCTGTTTTGAAGACGTGGACGACATCAAGATGGCTGTGATGACAGAGCTGAGGAGGACCCCGGAAGAATCCCTCCAGGAGTGCATGGCGGCGTGGCAGAGAAGGCTGGGAAAGTGTGTTAGACTCCAGGGGGATTACATGGAAGGGGAAAACTTGTAGTTGGTAGTTTGGATTTGAAATATATCTTTTGTGACACCAATCCTGAAACTTTTCTGATACACCTCATATGTGCTTAGGTGTGGCCAGAAATGTTCTTATGCAGTAGAAAATATGTGATGGACATGGACAAACTTTGATTTAGGCTCTTTGTTCCAGCAGTCTGCTTATTGTGCTGCAACTGTGATGCCTCAGTTTAAAATGGAACCGGAACCACTTCCTCCTTCTCAGCATTGTTTTTCCTGTCACTCTTTACTCCATGAATAATGCAACTAAAATAATCTAGGAAAAGTGCTGTGTGTGTGTGTGTGTGTGTGTGTGTGTGTGTGTGTGTGTGTGTGTGTGTGTGTGTGTGTATCAGAGGATGCACAATATGAAAATTGGCAGAAAACAGGCGCAGGAAATGAGGTCTGTCCCTATGTCTGTCTCCAGTGGCATCCACATGTATGTTGGCTGACTGTGGAGAGTGTGGGTGGTATGTATATGCTAATACGTTTTGGTGTTTTCATGGTTTATACTATTTCTGAACATTTTATTTTTTTTTACATCTCATCTGTACGGAAAGCCCGCAGACATACAGAGACAATGGTAACCTAGGTAACGGCTGGTTGTCGAGCATTTGATATATCCTGGCAACAGTTGTTAAGTCTGCGGAGGAAGGCTCTGATGAACTGTTTGTTTCTTTGCGAGACGATAATTACAGCTAAGCTGCTTTTTCAGCAGGTCTGAACTCCCTCCTCCTAATCACCTCTCTGTCAGGAGGGAATGATGGAGGGATGGTTGGATGAAGCAGGTGGAGTGTGCAGAAGAGGAGAGAGGTGTGCAGGGAAGGAGGGAGGACAGGGTGGATTTTGCACTGCATGCACGTGATAAGCAGAAACTCTGTAGATAGGAGTTTGTTTGTTTTTTTACTTGGAACAACAAACATCGGTTGTCTGCTGGTGTGAAAACTTGATGAATGACACTTTTAGTTT